TGCTGCCACAAATCATGTAACTCCTGATCTTACTAATGTCCAAGTCTATAGTCCCTATCATGGCCAAGACCATGTGACTGTTAGGAATGGTAGTCATCTTCCTATTCACAACACCGGTAATGGTATTCTTCCAACTCCTTCTTTTCCTTTCAAATTAACTAATGTTCTTCATGTTTCACATATTTAATCTAATGTTCTTTCAGTTCATAAATTGAATTCTGATAATAATTGCACTGTTACTTTTGATGACAAATCATTTGTGGTTCAGGACAAGACCACCAAGATACCTCTCTTTAGAGGTATTTATAGTCATGGCCTTTATCAGTGGCCTTCATTTTCTTTACAAGTTTCATCATCACAACATTTTTTTTCTACTTGCTTGGCTACTGCTACATGGCATACCAGACTTGGTCATCCATCTCCACAAAAGCTGCAATATCTTGTTAATAAGTTTCAGTTGCCTACTACTTCATCATCTAATAAGAATTTGTGTCCTCATTGTAGTGTGGCCAAGAGTCACAGACTTTCTTTTGCTTTTATCAGTGGCCTTCATTTTCTTCACAAGTTTCATCATCACAACATTTTTTTTCTGCTTGCTTGGCTACTGCTACATGGCATACCAGACTTGGTCATCCATCTCCACAAAGGCTGCAATATCTTGTTAATAAGTTTCAGTTGCCTACTACTTCATCATCTAATAAGAATTTGTGTCCTCATTGTAGTGTGGCCAAGAGTCACAGACTTTCTTTTGCTTTGTCTAATTCCACTGTAAATAAGCTCCTTTCTCTTGTTCATAGTGATGTTTGGGGCCCTTTCTCTCCATCTATTTATGGATTTAAACACTATGTTTTGTTCATTGATGAATTTAGCAAATCTACTTGGGTTTATTCTCTTTGTTATAAAAGTGAGGTGTTTGCCAAATTCATGGAATTTAAGGTGTTTGCTAAAAATCAATTTGAGACTACTCTTAAAATTTTTCGCATTGATGGTGGTGGAGAGTACACTAGTTCTCAATTTGAAACTTTTCTTAAAACACATGGTATTATTCATCAAATGTGTTGTCCACACACTCCTCCCCAAAATGGAGTTGCCGAGAGGAAACATAGGCATATTGTCACCACCACCATTGCTTTGCTACATCAATTAGGCCTTCCTCTTGCTTATTGGTTTGATGTTCTTGCTACTTTTGTTTTTCTTATTATCAGGTTGCCTAGTTCTAAACTTCAAAATCAAACTCCTTATGAGGTCCTGTTTCATCATTCCCCTGATTTTGCATTTCTTAAAAGCTTTGGTTGTAGGCGCTTTCCCTGGCTTCAACCCTATGCTTCTCATAAGCTAGCCCCTAAGTCCATTCCTTGTGTCTTCATTGGTTATCAATCCTTTATCAATTGATATCGTTGCCTTGATCCTATTTTTGGAAAAATTTATTTGTCTCGGCATGTTACTTTTGATGAATCACTCTTTCTTTTTCTGACTTCATCTATTTCTACCTCTACACATAACTCTCCACATACTCTTCCTCAACTACATTCCTTTTTCTGGTACTCTTCTCAACCTGCTGCAGCTTTTGTTCAGCCATTTGCTGCATCAGTTCAGTCTTCTGCTCCTGCTGTTTTTGCTTTACCTACAACAGTTCAGTCTTCTGCTACTGCTACTGTTCAGTCTGCTGCTGCTGCTACTGTCTTGCCTAGTCTGCCAGCCTCTGCTTTGTCTCCATTTTCTGCTGTCCCTACCTCTACTCCTATTTCCTCTCTGACTATTGATCTTCCTTTTGTGCGGCCTATTCCCACTGCTCCTTCTCATTCTTCTCTCAATATTCATCCAATGACTACCAGGTCCAAGTCTTGTTCTTCTGCTCTTCTCTCTACTATTTCTCCTCTTATTAAACCCACTTGTTTCTCTGAAGCTGCTTTAACTCCTGAATGGTCTAAATCCATGCAAGAGGAATTTCAAGCCTTACAAGACCAAGGTACATGGTCTCTTGTTCCTCTTCCTCCTCACAAGCAAGCCATTGGCTATAAGTGGGTGTTTCGCTTAAAAAAAAATTCTGATGGCTCCATTGCTCGCCACAAAGCTCATCTTGTGGCTAAGGGCTATCTCCAGCAAGAAGGCATTGATTATCATGAAACGTTTAGCTCTGTTGCCAAGCAACCTACAGTTCGGGTTGTCCTTAGCATTGCCCTTCATTTTAATTGGTCCATTAAGCAGTTGGATATTTCAATTGCTTTCCTCCATGGTTTTCTTCAGGAAGAAGTTTATATGGTGCAACCTCCAGGTTTTGAAAGTTCTTCTCCTCAACATGTGTGCAAACTGAAAAAGGCTCTCTGTGGGCTTAAGCAAGCTCCTCGAGCTTGGTATTCAACATTTTCTTCTTATCTTCTCTCCACTGGCTTCACAAATAGTCGCTGTGATTTTTCTTTGTTCATACAGCGCACTTCGACCACTGTTACTTTTCTTTTGATATATGTGGATGATATCTTAATTACTAGAAATAGTGCTGCTCATATCACTTCTCTTTTTCATTATATGCACAAAGCTTTCTCTATGAAAGAATTGGGTGATATTTCCTATTTTCTTGGTATATCCGTGACTTGCATTGCTTTTGATTTGTTTCTCTCTCAGCACAAATACGCCACTGATATTCTCACCAAGGCTGGTATGATCAATTGTAAACCATGTTCTTCGCCCATGGCATCTAAATCCGATCCTCCTTTAAACAATTTGGTGCCCTTTTCTCAGCCATCCTTGTATCGAAGTATTGTTAGAGCCTTACAATATCTCACCATTACCAGAACTGACATCTCTTTTGCTGTCAACCATGCATGTCAGTTCATGCATGCTCCTATTGTTGCCCATTTCAATACTGTCATGAGGTTACTTCGTGACATTCAGAGTACTCTTCATCATGGTTTATTCATCACTCCGGTCACTCTGGATTTGCATGCTTTTTCTGATTCGAATTGGGCTGGCGATGTTCTTGATCGTAAGTCTACCACTGGGTATTGTGTCTTTCTCAGTCCTAACTTGATTTCGTGGTCTGCAAAGAAACAATCAACTATTTCTCGGTCCTTCACGGAAGCAGAGTACAGGGCTCTTGCTCAAGCTTCCGTTGAACTTCAATGGCTTCGCATGCTTCTTCAAGAGCTTTCTCTTCCTTCTACTACTCCTGTTTTATGGCGTGACAATCTCTCCGCCAAATCTCGTCTCTAATCCTATTTTCCATGCCCGCACTAAGCATATCGAGGTGGATTATCATTTTATGCAGGAGCAAGTTCTTTCTCACAAAATTGTGGTTAAACATGTGTCTTCCTCTAATCAAGTGGTTGATTTGTTTACCAAACCCCTTCCCGTGGCTCAATTTTCTTATCTTCTTCCCAAGCTTATGGTGCGTGCCTTACCCATTCGCTTGCAGGGGCCTGATAAGAATATACCAAATCAAGCTCAAGCAAGTATAACCAAAGGAAAAACATAGGATAACTTCCCTCTCTCTAACAGAATTAGTTAGAGAGATATATGAATGTATAGATTGTATAAACGGTAGCTAATAGTTGGCTAGTTGGTTAGGTTGCACTCTTGTATTATAAATATAGATGTACTGACTAATTGTTAAATAAGATTGAAGTTTTCAGTTTCTCATCACACTTCTCATCTATTTCTAATTTAACTGCGTGATATAGTTTTTTTTCCCAATTAATTAGTGTTATATATAGAGAAAACTGGTAAATTATTGATCATGAGTTGATAGGGATTAAATGAGTCTTTGTTTCTCTTTTAATTCTTTCTCTAATTGATACATTTCTGTTAAAGCGTTAAAAAAATGGAAGGCAATATAAGTTTTGTTTCTCTTTTAATTCTCTCTCTACTTGTTGAAATAAGCATATTTTTAAATATTTTGGTGAATATCAGCTGTGTGTTGTTGATTATCTACATTCTGCTATTATGAAGTGTTGAAGTGAATATCTGCAGTGTTACTCTCAACTCTTGTGCTGGTTTAGCTTGGTTTTGCTCAGATTTTGGTGCTGAGGTATGGTGGTGGGATCTGATCTGATGATGCTGGTGTTAGTTTGTTGTGATTTGTGTAAGGTGTTACCATGGAACCAGGGGAGATGTGTCACATGATGTGTACACTGGGCTTTTTCTGGTCATGGTGTGATTTTTGTGGTTGTCTAATCTTGGAGACTTCCTTCTTCAGGTGGGGTGATCTACAGACTGCTCTGCTTTCTCTTGATTGAGCTGATCTGTTAGTCTTAGTTTTGTTCAACTTTGCAGTATGGGTGGAGTTAAGTTGGTCAGCTATGTTTTGTTAGTGGTGATCGCACTTTGTAGTGTCTCCTTGCTGTGTTCTGCCTTTCTTGTTTTGTTTATTGGTTCCTCACCAACTGGAGCTTGGAGTTTCAGTTAGCTCTAAGCTCCTCTTCATTGATGTCCTGTATCTTTTGCTTGCGTTCATCAGCAAAGATTTTCTTTGCCGATTAAAAAAAAAACAAAAAAAGAAAACAATAGGTAGACTAATATCGACAGACACAAATAATAATAATAATAATAAAGGAAAATTTAAGATTTTATGAAATTTCTTTGAAATATTTTTTTTGGATCAATTAGACTTTTAATCCTATAATTTGACTCAAATTTCACTTTACTTTCTATTATTTTAATTTGAACAATTATATACTTACACTTTAAGTTCAATCTCAAATTGGTCCTTCTATCTAACCTTTTGTTAATTTTTTTCTACGTGCATAACCTAAGATAATAACAATGTCTTGAAATCACTAATTTTAACTTTCAACTTGAACAGAAGAATCAAATTGAATTTTCACTAATTTTAATTTTCAATCATTAGGGTTTTTGACAAAAAAATGATTATTGAGTTAATGATATTTATAATTTTACTCCTGAAAAACACGACACAAGCTGCTTAAGGATGCATTTTTTTTACATAAAAAAAGTACTAACAATTGTAATTAATTAGACTAAATTGAAATAATATCATAGATTCAAGATCAAAATAGGCTCAATTGAAATTATACGGATCAAAATGACATACAAATCAAATGGTAGGAACTATCGGTATAGTTTGCCCTATATTATTGGATGAAAATTTGTGCAAATGTTTCAGATTAGAGGGGAAGGTGGCACTGATCACCGGTGGAGCTCGTGGCATTGGAGAATGCATCGCAAGGCTGTTCACCAAACACGGAGCCAATGTGATCATTGCTGATATCCTAGACAACATGGGTCACTCTGTATGTGAAGACTTGGGTGATGAACTTGCTTTTTATGTTCATTGTGATGTGAGTAATGAATCAGATATTGAAAATGCGGTTAACACTGTCATCCTCAAGTATGGAACGCTCGACATCATGATTAACAATGCAGCTACAGGAGACGAAGCGAAAACCAGCATTCTTGACAATGAAAAGTCTGAGTTCGATCGAGTCATTAGCGTGAACCTAACAGGCGCCTTCTTAGGCACCAAGCACGCAGCTCGCGTGATGATTCCAGCCAAAAAGGGTAGCATTATTACAATCGGAAGTGTTTCTTCTAGTGTTGGTGGTGTTGCTTCTCACGCATATACGAGTTCAAAGCATGCTGCGGTAGGACTGACCAAGAATGTTGCTGCAGACCTTGGGCAGTTTGGGATTCGCGTGAATTGCTTGTCGCCCTACTTCATTGCGACACCATTGACAATGAATTTTTTCAAGATGGATGAGAGTGATGCCTCTAGTGTTTATTCTAACCTCAAAGAAGTGGCTCTTTGCTCCGAAGATGTGGCTGAAGCTGGTCTTTATCTGGGGAGTGATGAGTCTAAATACATGAGTGGGCATAATCTTGCACTAGATGGGGGATTTGCTGTTATCAATCCAGCTTTTGGGTTGTTCGCAAAACCCAAATAATTTATTTTTAATCGAAGCTGATGTATTTGATATAATAAAAAATATGTTTGAGAGTCCTAAAATATAAACCTTTAAGGTTAATTTAAGAATCATATTTTTAGTCTCTTTTAACATTTCTGGTGTAATATCTAAAAAGAAAAAATAATACTAAAATAATGATCTCGTTATATTTTTATTGTAAAGAGGATGAGTCTGCAGAAAAATAAGTTAATTTTAGAATCTTCTTTAATTTTAACTAAAAGAAAAGGCAGTGTATTCCCACACAAAAAACAATCACTTGAAATCATATTCTTCTTTTTACCCACAAATTGAAGTGACATAACCAAATATTAAGGTCAAATATCCTTATTTTTCAAAGCCATGTGTCACAGAATTCCAAAATATTCTGTTAATCACAAAATTTTCAATTTACCCAAAAAAAGGTATCCAGATGAATATAAAGCCAAGTTCGATGATGACGGAAGTGGTAAAGAGTGAGGGAAATAGAAAGAACAAATATAAAAAATTTTGATAGGTTTATTTAATATAAAAGTGGTGAAAGTTATAATAGAGGTTGTACGGACATAAAAAATATTGTATTTGAGGACAAAGAAATTCATCAAAGAAGATAATCATCGCACCACGCGATCGCCATCTATAAGACAAAACACCCCCGGCCATAGCCAGGGGTCTTCTGATACCCAAGTTAGTCCTCTAATATTATCAAAATATTTAATTGATAAATTCATAGAAATTGCATACCTCAGCCCATGGGGTTTCTGCCTATTTATAATATCCAGTGATTTGCCTAGCAAGTAGTTTGAATATTCTAGAAGTCCTATCCCAAACAATCTCCAGTTGTTTAGGACTCCTATATCGATGTAAGATTTAATCTCTTGATGAGTTTTTCATAACACAAAATACTAATACAATGTTTGATGAGAATTTGACAATTGTCATACACGCGATAATCTATAATTACACCACGTAGTAACGTCGAGACTTACATAATTCTTGTAGTTATTTTTATTCCTCATAGGGATAAATTACACTAAGTATCTTTGAAGTTTCACCAAAATCTCATTTTAGTTCATTTATTTTCAATTGTAATAGTCAATCTCTTATACTTTAAATCAAATAGCAATCTCACAGTTCCATCCATTTGCCGTTAAAAAATTTGACAAAATTTGTCATTTGAAGCACATGTGACATTTGTGTTGTCTCATTAACACTCTTTTAGTTTTACTAAAATCTCACTTTAATCATTATACTTTTATCAAAGTCTAAATTTAGTACCTCTACTCTTATTTTTTATTAATTTTATTAACGGAAGGACGTTAACTGTTATAATTGAAAGTGAAGGGACCAAAGTGAGTTTTTTGTGAAAGTGCAAGGATACTAATTATAATTGACCCTTAAAAGAAAGTTAATTTTCTTATACAACCTATGATAATATGGTAACCAAATTTTAGTTTCTTGTAAAAACTACTAAAAAATACAAGAATGTTCAAATTTATTATAGAAGTAATCACTTATAGTTAGAATTCTTATTTTCTCTTTTTCTTTATTTTTTTTCTTATAAAATTTTCATCCTAACCAACTTCATACAAAACAATATTTTTTTTTTCATTTTCTTTTCTTTCACTTTATGTAACGCCCTCAAAATAATACATAATTCTATCATCTCACTGTTCTATATACATGATAGAGAAGTCACATTTCCATACATATATCAAAGTTAATATTACAAAAGAGTATTTCATACAAGTTACAATGTTTACAAAAATAGTAAAATGCCCTGCGGGCTTACGTCTTTCCAAGTTTCGACATGGTTACACAAAAGAAGAGTTCTAATTCTTTTACAAGTAAAGCCTTCGGCTTAGGTTTACATTTAAATACAAAACAGACAAAACAACAAAATGAAGCCTTCAGCTCCAAACCTCCTGAACTATACCCTTGGAGGTGGCATATCACCTGTACCTGAAAATGGTGTCCCAAGTAAGGTGAGCCAAAGCCCGGTAGAGATATGCTAAACCAAACATGAGAAATAACTAAAACATTAGCACTCGACAAATGGATAACACTTGTAAACCAACTCAAACCCTTCCCATAGCCCAACACAATTACGTCCATATTTCAATCCTCTTCCCTTTACTTATCCAATTCAATTCATAGACATGGTTCATTATCTAACCAAACAATTTAAATGAGACTACAACTCATCTTATTAATACTTCCATTATCCATAATTCAAAATGAGACTACAACTCATAATATTAACACTTCAATTATCAACTTCATTCATACACTTCCATTTATAAGGTTTTGGGACTTTCACCCTGGATACTCCGGCCAACTTAATTATCAATGGAATCCATCCCCTATCTCCTCCCAAGCAAAATACATATACAATGTAGTAAAGCATATAATCACATATGGAGTACATATACAATGCATTAAAGCACATTATCACATATGGAGTACATCCCCTATCTCCTCCCAAACAATGGAGTACATCCCCTATCTCCCCCCAAGCAATGGAGTACATCCACTATCTCCTTCCAAGCAAGATACATATGCAATGTATTTAAACACATTATCGTATACAATGATCAATTCAAGCACATATTCAATGTGTTAATCTCACCGTCATATTCAATGACATATTTCAATTGATTAGTTTCAATTCACCTAATCATTATGCTTTTCTACAACAATTATGGTTATCCTCCACCGATAGCCCAAAACAGTTATATCTAGACAAATAATTAAATTTACCAAACAGATAAATTATTATATTTCCCACCGGTGAGTGATTTATCAATCTAACTACGCTATTCAATCTCATGTTTTCCCAATGTTTCATAATTTACACAAATATTTTATGTAGCTCAAATTAGGGCATTAACCTCCCTTTCTCAAAACTTGCAATCAAGGCTAAATTCCTTCCATTTTACATAACTATTTCCATTGTCAAGACCTCATATACACAATGGAACCCAATCATGGAAAACCCCTCTTTCAACATTTCAGATTTCAAACACTAACTTCCCAAAATTTCCAAATCTCCCCATTTATACAAAATGCCTATCATTTATGTTAAAACTCATAAAAAGGAGTAGATTATTCCTATCTCAAGTGGAGAAGCTCAAAGGAGAGAGAGAGAAAGACCCAAGGTGCTCTAAACTCAAGATTTTTCGGATCAAAATGAAGCCTACACAAAGCTCTACCTTTTATACAAAGGAACTAGGGTAGAAAACCCCTAAAACAAAGTGTATTTGTAGAGAGAAGGAGTGTGTAGAGAGAGAGAGAAAGAGTCAGATCTAGGGTTTTGAGTGAAAAAGGGGATGAAAAAGTGATTAAAATCACGCTGTTGCAATCTGATATATTCGAGGCTCGCTCGAGCGAAGGAGTGGTCGCTCGAGCGACCAGACACAAAAGAACCTCGCTTGAGTGCAAGAAGCGTCGCTCGAGCGAACAATGCGAAGCTTTAGGTCTGTAACCCAGAAGCACGCTCGAGCGCAAGAGTTCTCGCTCGAGTAAAGAAACACAAAACATAGAGCTCGCTCGCTCGAGCAACAAAAGCCTCGCTTGAGCGAAGAATACCAACCTTCAGGTCCAAACTAGACGCAGACGCATGCTCGAGCGCAAGAGTGCTCGTTTAAGCGAAGAGACACATCACAGAAAGCTCGCTCGAGCGCAATAACCTTCGATCGAGTGAAGGAGCAAAAACCCAAGGCACGCTCGAGCGCAAAATGCCTCGCTCGAGCGAAGATGCCAAATTCTGAATAGCAACCATTTGTTCCAACACCCAACCAACCTGTTCCAAACTTACCCAACACATCCCACAACTCAAATACAAAGGATTAAAGAACGGAAAAGAGATATAGACAACAACAACCATCCACGGAACCGAGTCTGGAATACAATAAATAATTAGAGGAAAATCGGGATCGCTATACTTAATTTTTTACTATTTTCACTTTGCATAGGTTAAATAACCACATATCGTAAGTTCACAACCAAAACCACCACTTGATTTTAAGGTCAAAAAACATAAAAATGACTTTATAGAATTTGACTTAGAAACTAAGGTATAAAGAGGAAAAGTGTAAAACACTCAGTCTAGCCGACACATAGTCGATAGTTTTTAGACTACAAGAAATAATGGTCTTAACGAAGATTAACTAACAACATTTTTGTAAACGCCACTTTTTTTAATATTTAGCGACAATTTCTAAACGTCATATTTTTTTCATTTATTAAAACGGTCCCATTTTAAGAATAGAAGTCGTTTAAAAACACCTTCAAACCCTTATTTTGAATCTATGAATATGAGAAATCGATTGGTTCTCAAATATCTCTCTCTCTCTCTCTCTCTCAACCCCCTCTATACCTTAATGTCTGTCTTAGAGGATCGATTTAGCTCAGTGATTTATCTTCAGCTCGGTGATTCATCTCAATGATTCATCTCAGATCCAATCTCAGAGTGATTTTGATTTCAAAGTTCTCTCTCTCTCTCGATTTCGAAGCTCTACCGACATCACCATCTGCACCAGCGAGGAGAGTGAGCACCATCGCCTACTCACCCTCTACAATCTTAGTTTTATATTCTCTTTATCTCTCTCTATATATTTGTGTGTGTGTGTGTATTTGTATATGTATATCGATCTTTTTTTTTTGTTCCTCTGCAAGTTTGTGTTGGGATTACATTAATTAATGTCAAGCTCTGGTTTAATTTCAAGCTCTGGTTTGTGCTCTTATGTTTTGCATTTTCACCCTAATCTTCATTTTCAATTGTCATGAAAAATAACCAAAAAAAAAAAGAACTATTAAAAACAAGTCATATTAAAAAAGAAGCAGAAAATTAAAACAAGTCATGTTTCTGTTAAATCTCTATTTATTGAAGTCTTTAGTTGGTTGGTTATTCTGAATTGAAAGTGTTTTGGGTTTTGACCTTCATCTATTGAAGATTTTAGCTATGTAATCCATTTACAAGTCCAGAAAAGAGGATATGGAAGACCTCATTGATTTAATCATGGCAAGGGTTGTTTTATGGACTA